GGGGGTGACATGATGTTGGAATCCATTCCGGGTGTGTGTGTGTGTGCAGGGCAGTTTCTGCTGTCTGAAACACACATACACAGGGATGCAAAAACATCGCACCAGAAACATCTTTCCAGCCTAAATGGCCAGGACTCACTATGCAGTCTCATGTAACATGAACTATGTGAGCCAGCTACTCCCACACATGCCCTTTCTCCCCCCTATGCTGTGCTGTAACTTTCTACTTCCCCTTTCCCCTCCCAATGCCATGCAGCTTGTTGTCACATAACTCCGTGTGTAGGTGTGGGTCACCCATGGCCTAGTGCATAACAGGGCATGCGCAGCCACACTGAACCACAGGAAACAAACTACATAACATCCTGATATCCTGATAGTGCATAACATAACATCCTGATAGTTCACTCTAGATGTGCCTTACCCAACGACGCCCAGGATTTGACCATATATAGACAGAACTTCCCTGAGCAGTAGATTAGCAATTGTAGTTTTACAGGCTGTAAAACTTAAATCACATGCTGATTGCTCCTCCTGCCTTTGTCCTATCTCAATAAAAGGGGCTACCAGACCCCCAATCTGGGTCGCTCCATCCCGAGAAAGCTCGTGTCCATGTCTTTTCTCCACATTGGCCTCATGGACAACCCACGGGAACATCACAGCTTGCAACTGAACCAGATGGATATTTCTACCAACAATTCTCCACAAAGCACAACTGATGAAGTTCTACTGTGATAATGCAAAACAAAGCCCCTTTAAGATTAAGATAGTGGGTGGTCCTCCGGTTCAGTATCTTCATTCTGGGACTGCAAAATAAGTACTGAAATATTGTGGGGTTGTCATGCATCCCATCATCAACTCTAAAAGGATGCAAATGACCAGCTGTCTGCAAGGAATGTAGATCTTTCCATTCCCAACTATCTTGTCACAGCTGAAGAAGCTTCTTGGATGAGAAGCAAAATGTCCTCAAATGTTTCAAGAAAGTTCAGTTGCTTCTTGAAAAAGCACCTTTGGGACAACCTGAAGACTATTTTGAGGACTACAACTCTGAAGAATAAAGAATAAACAGGCAAAAGAATTTATCTGATAATTTTATTATACCATAAGACACTTCAGTTTTCTGAAGTTCCTTTTAGTTATATGCATACTGTGGATTAACAAATCTAGAGGGTGCATTAGCAATGAGATGGTTCATTGGCTGGGAACTGTTCTTCCCATAGTCACGAACCGATACCTTAGGTTTCTGTAAAGGAAAATTAAGATTAAAAGTTACTTAAGGGAGTGTTTCAGCTATGCAATCTTCGAGATAGGGTGTTTGACTTGTTTCTCCCAATTGAAAAGTCCACAAAAATAAGGAGAGTGAGAAAGAGGGCATGCCAACCATAGCCAGTTATATTAAAACAAAGTAGACCTACCTTATCCAGGCTACAAAGATCTGAACAATCACTAAATACCATTAAAACTAATTATTTTATGCCATTCAGTAGTTGTCTAGACTTTTGCAGCTCAGAACTGGTAAGCCTAAATCCATGTAGAGGAACTGACTTCCAGCAGGGTGTTTCCTGGACACTGGCATTAGAATAACCTCTGAAAATTTGGGCTTTAGAGCTTAAATAAAAGGGCCTTTTGAACTAGTCAGGTCTCATTATAATCAAGTATTTCTTGATTACGGAAACACTGCTTCCAGGTGCAAATGCTATTTTAACTAGGTTGAATCTCTCCTTGGTCAGTTTCCATCTATTATTCTTTGGGCTTCACATGTTTTGGAAAATAGCTTGACCCCCTCCTCTCTGTGGCAACCCCTTAAATATTGGAAGACTGCTCTCATATCTCTCCTGGTCCTTCTCTTCACTAGCCTAGCTATGCCCAGTTTCTGCAACCGTTCATCGTGTTTTAGCCTCCAGTCCCCTCATCATCCTGGTTGCTCTTCTCTGCACTGTTTTTAGAGTCTCAACATCTTTTTTATAGTGTGACGACCAAAACTGAATACAGGATTCTGGGTGTGGTCTTACTAAGGCTTCATAGAGTGGTAGTACCTCACTTGATCTTGATTGTATTCCTCTGTTAATGCAACATAGGATTGCGTTGGCTTCTTTGGCTGCCGCCGCACACTGCTGGCTTATATGGGCAACATTCTATTTGCACAATGATGAAAATTATTTCCTTCCCCAAAAAGCTCTATATATGTCTCTCAATATATATGTCTCTATATATATGTGCCCTACTTCTGGGCACTAGGAAATGTCAAGTTTGAAGCAGAATCAGTGGAAGCTGATTCCTTCAAAGAAGCAAAGGTGGCTTTTTCCACTGATACCAAGAACACTCTGGAAAAAAATGCCATTTTTGTACACAGCCAAAATCTGGACATACCGGAAACAGCCTCATAGGCACCTCTTCAAATGGGGCTTCTTGATCATAATCCGCACTTGGTATCTCATTCACCCAGTGGTTACTCTGGCCAGCTTGGGCAGATGGGACTGCCCTTGGAAGAGGTCTCTGGGGTGAGTAGCTGTCATGAGAAAATGGAAGATAACCATAAACACATTCTGGAAATGAAAACTTAGGCGTTGTATTCCTGCAACACGTTAAGCTAAACCACATATGGCTCGATTTACTGTATCGGCCAGGAAATGAAAGCAGACGCATAAACAAATACAAATTTTCCACTGTTACTAATTTTCTCTGCTTATTGGGAAAGGGAGCTTTTTCCGCCTATTGTATGTGTAGTCATCACAATGTGGAAATTACTGTACAGCTGACTTCCCAATAAATATTCCCTTTGAACTGATTTTCAAGCAAATTACTGTAGATGGAATAGTGTCATGAAATAATGTGAAATAGCTTCTTTCTGGGTGTGGACTCTATGTGTGTGTACGTGTGCCTATGTCTAAATAGTGGGTTTATGCTATACACACACACACACACATACACACACAGAGTCCAGATTAAGCCAAGTTGAGTGGATGGTACAGATATCCTCAACATACAACCAGAATGAAGCCTTACATTTATGTTGCTAAGTGAGACAGTTTTAACAACTGACAAGCATGTTACTAACTTAACAACTGCAGTGATTCACTTAACGATTACGGCAGGAAAGGTCGTAAAATGGGACAAAATTCACTGAAATGCAATGAATTTCACAAAATTCACTGAATTTTGTCCCATTTTACGGCCTTTCTTGCCACAATCGTTAAGTGAATCACTGCAGTTGTTAAGTTAGTAACATGCTTGTCAGAAGGTCATAAATGGATCACATGACCATGAGGGACGCTGCAACCGTCATAAACATGGGTCAGTTGCAAAGCGTCTGAATTTTGATCCAATGACCACGAGGGACTCTGCAATGGTCGTAAGAGTGAAAAGCAGGCATAACCAACGTTTTTCAGTGCCGTTGCAATTTCGAACTGTCACTAAACGGGCTGTTGTAAGTTGAGGACTACCTAGACTGCATTTCCATCTAAACATTTTAAACCAATGCTTAAAATTAGTGGGGGCAACACGAGCTTCACTTTTCAAGTGTGGAAGAAAGTTAACAATCTGGATTCAGGCCCTGTGATAGAAAACACCAGTTTTTATCCCAGCCGGTCAGTGGTGGGTTACAAATTTTTTTAGAACCTCTTCTGTGGGTGTGGCCTGCTTTGTGGGAGTGGCTTGCTGGCCATGTGACTGGGTAGGAGTGGCTTGCCGACCATGTGACTGAGTGGGCGTGGCCAACTTGTAAAATGTGGTGAAACTTACTTAACAACGCTCTTGCTTAGCAACCAAAATGTTGGCTCAGAAACTCTGGCATTGAACCACACAAGTCTTAAAGCTGTCAAGTTACAAGATCCTTGGACCCCTAACTCTTTAGAAAGAAAAACCCCAGGGGTGTTCAAACCTGACAGCTTTAAGATTTGTGAACTTCAACTCCCAGAATTCCTTTTCCAGTCATGTTGGCTCAGGAACTCTGGCATTGAAGTGTGCAAGACTTAAAGCTGTCAAGTTACAAGACCCTTGCAAAAAAAAAACAGGGGTGTTCAAATTTGACAGCTTTAAGACTTGTGGACTTCAACTCCCAGAATTCCTCCTCTCGCTCTTCATCTTGATGATGTGCGGACGGGCAGAGGGAGGGAGCTGGAACCGTTTCTAAACGGCACTGTAGGCTAGAGGTTACAATTGGCAGGAACCCACCCCTGCAGCAGGTCATACCTGGATCTATCAGGAAAGGGGATCTCCGCTTGGTTTTGGGCCAAAGGCCTGGGAAACACTGACATTTGTTTGGGCTGGGCTTCCTGCACGAGAAAAATCACAAATGAGAAATAGGCAGATTGCTTTGATTTTGATTATTGTTTTAAAAGTGGGGGGGGGGGAGCATTCCAAAATAACAATATTGATGAAAAATGAAATAGGTGAAGATTATGTTGATGGAGATAAAATAAAACTGGAGGGAAAAACCCTTTAAAAACCTCATTGAATTAAATCAAAAGTAATCATAATAAACAAAACAAAGCCATAATAACAACAATGAAATAAATTCAAAACGTATTAGCTTACCAGCTGTCTTTGGGGGTTATTTGGCATGGCAGAAGCTGGGCGCCCTGGTTGCCTTTCTTGACTTCTGAAAATATTACCAAAATATCAGATTAAAAAAAAAAGAAATATTAAGTTTAAATATAGCATACCCTTGACGAGGAAACAAAAAGCTAAGCAAAGCATATTTATTTTGTTCAGCCGTGTTCAATTCTTGGAGATTGTCTGGACATATTCCCGGAAATTTTCGTCCAAAGGTTTTTCATAAGAGTTTGTCCTTACCTCCTTCCTAGGGCTGAGAGAAAGTGACTGGCTCAAGGGCATCCAGCTGGCTTTGTGCCTAAGGTGAAACTGGAACTCATACTCCCCTGGCTTCTATGTCTTTGCCACTAAAACTAGGATCATAGACCATTAAAAATAGACCATTTTTTTAGCCTGAACACATGCACGGACACTCACATTTGCGAACTGGTAGGGACGATAAATGAATACAATCCCTGATCTCAGCTTATTGTAGGGTGATAAACCATAATTAGACAAATTATGGCTTAGTATGTTACATGAACATCCACCTCTGTGCTGCTCCTAAGCTCCCTCTTTATCGGGATGTTTGACACTTTTAGTTTGGTGTTACCTACTGTATTTTTCAGAGTATAAGATGCACTTTCCTTCCCAAAAAGAGGCTGAAAATGTGGGTGCGTCTTATACTCCGAATGTAGCTTTTTCGAAGCTTTTTTTCAGCCCTAATGAGGCGCTAAGGAGTGAAGCATCTCCCTGGCTTTGCCTGCTTTTCTCATTGCTTTTCTCTCTGATGATCAGCTGTGCTTCAGAAGCTGTTTTTCATCCCCAACCAGGGGATGAAAAGCATGTGTGCGCACACACATTCAAAACCAGCAAACCTATGTGCCTATTTTCCTCCCCCAAAACTAAGGTGCGTCTTATACTCCGGTGCTTCTTATACTCCGAAAAATACGGTATACACTCACTGATCAGGGGAGGGATTTGGTGCAAATACCGGTAAATCCTACCTTGATCAAAACAGGTCTTCTCTTCTTGCCCCAAATCAACTCACCTGCTCTTTTTCGGCTGGCTTCTACAGTAGGCAGTCCACTTCGTTAAGGTGAAGACAACCATAGACAATGTTACTGCAGGTACTGCGATCATCAAAATCAAGTCCAGGGTGCTCCACAGGTAGTTACATTTGGGCCCCATGTACCAATAATCTGCCCATTTGTTTCGGTAGGAGGGACACCTAGAGATAGAAATGGAGGAGACCAAAATTGAGAAGCTTTGAAGCACTTTCCCTGCAAAGCATAGCTTGCATCATAAGTTGGGTGCTAATCCACCCAACAACTCTAGGGCTGAATGCTAAAATTAAGGGCTTCCTTGTGTTCTGGAGTAACATTTGCAAGTAATGATAGGATAGGGTAGGGTAGGGTAGGGTAGGGTAGAGCCGAGGTGGCACAGTGGTTAAATGCAGCACTGCAGGCTACTTCAGCTGACTGCAGTTCTGCAGTTCGGCTGTTCAAATCTCACCGGCTC